TATTAGTGGTAAAAAAATAATAAATAAAACATAATTTTTTTGAAAAATGACCGTTTAACAACGGTAGAGAGGAGAACCAATCACAATCGAGCAAGGAGCGCATCCCTCGAAGGCTGCAATGCGGCCTAGACCGCACCTGGACCGCACCCAGGGGGCGGTGTGGGTGATGATGTGGCAGGGGGAGCGCGGCCTAGACCGCACCCACTCCCTCTGGTCTAAAAATTGACTTTTGTGCTTTATTTTATATTTTTTTTATTTGTATCGTATATATCCAACCATATTTTATAGTATTTTATTAGACCAGCATAATGTCATATTTACCATTGGAACTTGGAAGTTGGAAGGTAGTAGTAACGCATGGCTCTTTGAAATCAAATTCTACCTGCATTGAAAAACTATGAAGCTTTGAATGCAAATAATATACATTCTTTTTCATTTTTTAGAGTATTGAATACGCTCTCTTATAATTGTAAAAATATTTACAAAAAGTTGTAGTTTATAAAATGGTTAATTGTATAAGAAAAACTCTTATTTTACGATTTAAACACAACTTTTTTAATTCAATAAAAAATTCTTATACTTTTTCATTTTTATTTGGCTATTTTAACATTTATTCATTAATTTTTTTCCAAACTTTACATAAGTTATTTTTGGAAAAACACTTTATTCTCTTTTTTTTTCGAGAAAAAATTTCATATATGTACTTAAACATCAAAATATCATATTTGTCCAACTTAATTTCTTAATATCATATTACCATTTATAAACCTTCAAAATATCATATTTGTCTAAATCGTTTTTTATAATATTTTTAATAGTTTATAATCATTTTTTATATATTAGAATTATTATAATAATTAAAAATTCTAACCATATTATCCTTATGAATATAGTAACGGAACGTTTATTTCTAAATTGTTGGAATGTTGCTCTCCTGATAAACAAAACGCTCCATCTTCAGTCATCTCCATGGAACTGATGCGTTGGTTGCTTAGTTTTTATTGTTGTTGAATATTGTCATGTTATAGATGGATAATATTTTTAGATATTATCATTGATATTTTGATGTTTAAGAAGGTATATATGATATTTTGATATTTTGAGAATGACATATATGATATTTTGATGTTTAAGAAAGACATATACGGTATTTTAAAAATTTATGAATGGTAAATAACTAAATATGATATTTAGAAATTAAGTTTGGCAAATATGACATTTTGATGTTTAATTAGAGTCAACAAAAATTCACCCAACCCACTAACTCAACCCAAAATTAACAGGCTAAGTTGAGATTTTTAACCCAGATAAGTTAAATGAGTCAACCTGCTCAATATATTTATTTAAAGAAGTTGGGTTGGGTAAATATTATCAACCCGTCAACCCATTTAACTTTAATATATATTTTATTTCATAATTATTTGAATATTATCATGTATTATTCAAAGTATTAATTTATAAATTATAATGTTGTATTATTATTTATGTTTAAAAAAACGCAATCCTAATTCTCATCTTTTTTCTTAGCACCGACAATAATAACCACTCTCCAAAATCATTTTGAAATTAAACATTTTTAATGTTATTTGAACAATTTATATGTATTTGTGAATTAAGATTGTGCTTTTATCATACTTTGAAACTTTATTTACTTTTGAAACTAGTTTAAGTAGTGTAATCTTTAGTTAATTTTTTAATATTTTAAATGGGTTAATCCAAGTTTAACCAATTTATGTAGTAGGTTGAGTCGGAAGCTACATAAACATGTTAACCCGATGACAACCCATTTATCTAAAATGTTGGGTTGAGTTGGAAATATCAACCTATTTAAATAAACAGGTTGGGTTGGGTCGAAAACTTCAACCCAATTAGTAAATGGGTTGAACCCGAACCCAACCTAGGTCGACCCATTCACAACTCTATGTTTAATAAGGGTAGATATGAAATTATACTTTTTTTTTGAAAAAAAACCTTAACTTTTTTTTTTTTCAAAAAATAACCTTTGAAAAAAAATAAATTAGTTTCAACCAATTCTTTTTTGAAAAATAAAAGTTAAGGATTCTCTATACAAAGATTATGTAAAACTGAAATATTAACGTAACCCGTTAAAAAAGTCAAATCATAGAAAAGGAAAATATAAAGGATATTTTGAAAATACAAATAAGTTTAAGTTTAAACATACAATATCATAAAAGGAAAAATGACTTACGAGCCCAACGAAGTTTCCAAACCGTTTAAAAACCCCGATCATGTTTTGTATGTTCAAAAAAAACCCAACGAACTTAACCTTTTGTCTAAAAACCCCAACTAAGTTACAATTTTCTTCAATTTCTTGGAAGTCAAAGAAGATAAACAGATGATGTGGCTTATTAACATATCGGGAAAATGATTTGTCAGACCAACGAAGTTTCCAAACCGTTTAAAAAACCCCAATCATGTTTTATCTGTTAAAAAAACCCCAACGAACTTAATCTTTTGAACAGACAAAACATGATTGGGGTTTTTTTGAACGGTTTGAAAACTTCGTTGGACTTTTTTAGACAAAAGTTAAGTTCATTGAGTTTTCTTGAACATACAAAACATGATTGATGTTTTTTGAACCGTTTGGAAATTTCGTTTGACTTATATGTCATTTTCCCTATCATAATAGGTATTTTATAGAATTAACCATGTATAAAAAGAAAAGGAATTTTGAACCAAAAACGTTGGACTCGCTTTTATATTATAATATAATTAAATAATAACATGCAATAAACACAACCAAATACATAATCACTGCCTTAATCCTATGTATTTAGTGTTTTTCGGTAAGCCACTCCGAAAAAAGCATGGTTATTCTAGAAACAAAACGGATAACAACATGATGTCCCGGCTCCCATTAAAATTGTCATCATCGATGCATGGAAAGCCCGCCAAGACTTTATTCTTCATAATTCCTATTTGGTTGTCTTAAGTCTTCAAATTATTTTTTTAATACAATTTTCTATCGAAATTAATCTACTTATATTACATGAAAATTTACATTGCAAAATAATAAATAAACGACAAGCATGACGCATAATAATTAATATTACATAACCGAAAAATAATACAAAACATCACAAACATAGATATAGTCGAGACAATATGTTTACTGAATTCATAAAATAAAAAAAATAACACTTAAAAGCTCAATTTCAACACTCTACTCGACAACATGATGATGTGAAAAAAATATGATAAGGACATTAAGCTTATTGTATGTCCTTTATGTTTTCAAACCATCCAAAAAATCATATACTAATGAATCAAACATTAAAGAAACGAACTTAAATTTAAAGTCACTCAATCTTTACTATAAGAAAATAAACAAACTTTGATACTCATTTAAAACCTTTTGAAAATTTCAATATATATATATATATATATATATATATATATATATATCTATATATATATATATATATATATATATATATATATATATATATATATATATGACACACAATATACTATTTACCATCTTAAAATCAGTTTTAAGTTTTCAATCTATTGGAAGGTAGTGTGTTATATACACATTTGAAATTAAATGTCAGCTGCATTGAAAAATCAGGTTGTGTGTTATATACACATAGCCTTTGAAACCAAATATCACCTACATTGAAAATCCAAGAAGCTTCCAATGCTGATAATATTCTCAATTTTTAAGTTATTGTATATATGCTCTCTTATATTTGTAAAAATATTTACAAAAAAGTTTAGTTGTATACAAACAAGGAACTTTGAGCTAAAAACGTTGGACTCGTTTTTTATATTGAAATTAATAAAATTCAACCCTTATTATTAAATACAAGTCTCTATTATTATTTTTTATTATCTTAAGATTAGAACCCACAAGTACATCATCATTTTTCCAAATATTTTATAGAGTCAAATAATGACAATTTTTTATAAGGCATGGTTAAAATTACAAAAAATTCATATGAGAAACCAACAGACTCCACAACCAATAAAATAATAAAAAGAATACATTCTTACACACTGTTGAATTATTAAAATTTAAAATATGAAATTGTATCGTCTTCTAATTATAATTGATTATGAACGCAATCTCTCTACTCCAACTCTCCAAGAGATAGAATTGAAGGTAAGAGTGTCTATATCATATCCCCACGACCTCATAAAGTTCGAGTATTTATTATTATTGTGTCACTTTTGTAGTCTTGAAATAAAGCATTTTCATGATTCACAACCACCACATATAAATAACAAATTAATACTATAATTTACAAGAGACGTTGTCCTTTTACCTAAAAAATATCAAATTAATATTTACATGAAAATTCAAAGATAATATTGTTAGATTATTATACACTCGGGAACACTTCATTTTTCCAAATCATTTCCTCATTTAAAAACTTTATTTAATTATTTGTTAAATCTTATAAAAGTATATTTCGTTGAATATGACAAAGTGTCGAGCTCAGTTACTTTCAGGTGGTATGGCTGGAAACAAATAAATTAACACGAAAGTTTTATAGAAAATATAATAATAATAATAATAATAATAATAATAATAATATTATTATTATTATTATTATTATTATTATTATTATTGTGCGTACAAAACCAATTATTATATTTTTTATAGGACATGAACTTTTGAAATTAAATTCCGCCTACTTTCAAAAATCTAAAAAGCTCCCAATGCTAATAATATACATTCTTTTCATTTTCCATTTTTTTTCATTTTCCAATTTATTGTATATGCTTTCTCTTATAGTTCTAAAAGTATTACTAAAAAGTTATATATTCTAAAAATAGTGAAATTTAAGCCAAAAAAGTAGGGACATATACTATAATTAAAAAATGTTCCAATTCTTATTATTAAATACAATCACCACATGTTAAACATCATGCATATGTAGTTGTCATTTTATTATAAGAAAATACATTTCATTTTTATAAGTTACATCTATATTAATATTTTTCATTATATCTTATAGATTGGAACCCACAAAAAAAGTAAGACAATATCATCTAATATGTCTTTTTAAAATACAAAAAAAAAGTCTCCAAATTTTTTTTTTTTTCAAGTTAATAATACTAGGGTAATATCATCCACAAGTACATTACCATTTAATGTAATTCTATATGTAACATCAAATCCTTCTAAATTCACGTGATAAATTGTATCATGAGATTCATTTGTAGAAGATTCTTCTTCTTCATCTTGGATTCTTTGTGATACCGATCTTATGTCCCATGAAAGCACTTGTTTTATTAAACTTTTAAATTCTTCGGGTGATTTATATAACGACTTCTTAACCTACAAATACATAAATGAACACAAAATCGCTTTTTTTTTTTTTTGTTTTTTTTTTAATGACGTAATCAGCTAATGCCAAAGTTTGTTTATCTTTATTTCTTTACTATACACAAAAAGAAGTGGGGAAAAAGAGGCTTCCGAACTTTTTTTTTTGGAAAATTTGTCCTTGTTTATTTTTCCCTTTACTTTCCTAAGCTGTGTCATTTTCCCAAATATTTTTAAAGTAAATTACATTTTTGGTCCCTAGGTATAGTTTGATTTTTTGCAATTTTGGTCCTTATTTGAGGCTCTGGTAATGTTTTTTGTCCCTCTTTCAAGTTAAATGACGATTTTGGTACTTGAATAGCTGACTTTTGCAAATTTTGTTCCAAAATAGAAGTCATTTTTACTTAAGAGTAACTTACATTTTTAGTCCCTAGGTATAGCTGATTTTGCAATTTGGGTACTATAAATCTTTCTTTTGCAACTTTGGTCCTTCTATGAGGTTCTTGTAAACGTTTTTAGTCTCTGTTCCAAGTAAAAGAAAAACTATTTTTGGGACCTTAATTGATTTTTGCAATTAAGGTCCCAAAAACATAATCATTTTACTTGGAACTAGGACCAAAAACATCACAAAAACCAATAAGGTCCAAATTTGAAAGAGAAAACTTTTTGGGAACAAAATTGAAAAAATCAGCTATACTTAGGAACCAAAGATGTAATTTACTCTTTTCCTTGGAACATAGACCAAAAAATGCTACAAAAACACCAAATAAAGGACCAAAAGGCTAAAACTGAAAAAATCAATGATACTCAAGGACCAAAAATGTAATTTACTATGTATATATTAAAGAGGATGAAAACACTAACCATTGTAGGCCAATAACGAGTTAAAGTTGCTAAAAAATCATCAGAGAAATCAACAGATCCCACAGCCAACATATCATCCATCTGTTAAAAAAAAATATTAAAATTTTAAATAAGGAAATTATCATCCATGATAAAAGGGTAAATGGGTAATTAATACAATACCTTAACCCAATTGGGCACTACTGCTTCTTTGATGCTATCACAGTATGGTAGATAGGGCTTCACATCCAGAACAGGCTATTCACAATTTCACATTTCACAACATTATTATTCTTTTAAACTATATTTTTATTTTACTTTATTTATTATTAATGAATATTAAGTTTGTAATGGAAAAGAAATGACTTACAGTGCCATTAACCAAATCCACACCAGAAAGCAGGATGCTATTTCCTTGAACTGACTCCACCTAAATAATTAAATTTTATATATCTTGTAATGATTATTATTTATTAAACAACAAATAATATATGATTTAACTTACTTTTGCAACTGTAAGACCAATTGGACATGGGCGATGTGGTGATCTTGTAGCAAAGAGCCCCTTCTTTTCACCTTTCAATCTTGGTACTCTTACCTGAAGATTTTTAAAATAAAATAAAAAAATAAAATTGAGGGAAATAGACATTACATAATACATACCTTTGCTTTCAACTTAGACCTAGATGGATGTTTCCATAACTTTTCAAGATCTGTATTAAGATGAAAAACATATATGATCCAACAATGGGAATACTCTTCAAGACCTTCAAGAGAAGATGGTGGGACCCGGGATGTATCAAATGTCAAAACTGCCCTTGCAAGAGGTACAATTAGAGGTTGCCTTGGTGTTCCATTCCTGTGTATTTGAAAAAAGTTGATGAATTTATAAGTGAGCAAAATCATTGGGTGTTAACATGTCAATTCATGAACACATTCATATGAGTGTTACATTTGGGGAATGGCATATTTCTTTATTGAAGCTTTTAAATTGTTATACGTTGGTTTATCGAATTGAAAGAGACTTGAAATTTGTAATAATTACCTCGTTGAGAAACAAGATCTGATGATGGCAATAGTAGCCATGGGATAAATCGTCTCCAAGTTATCTGTTTTAGCTTGGAGCATTGCTTTTCTTAAATCCTGTTCATATAGTAGTTCAAAATTAAAATAAACGAGCTGCGAATTGCAAAACAGGGGACACATTTACGAAATCAAAAAGGGGGTTTGCCGTTTGTGTGGGTTTAACCTGTTGAGCTCTAATTCGGCCTTGCCTCTCAGCAGCACACTTTTCTAATGATTCCTTCAGAGATTTTTGAAGTTCCTTTATAAGCTTATCATCGGAATCTTGCGTTTTTCTCTTACTCCAATAGTAAACTGAAAGATATCAGATTGAATGATATATTGCGTACGGGAGTTGATGAAAACAAGAGAATGTGTTACCCGATACGGCGGTGGATGTAGAAACGGTGGCGAGGGCGAGTGTGACGGATAAAGTCAGCCATTTTGAGGTTTCAGTAGAGCTCGCCATTGACACCATGAACAGTGAGCTTCAGAAAAACGAGGGTTCACTTCATTCGTGCAATATTGTTGAAAGGTAAGTTACGAGTATGGTCCCTGTACTATATGCTAGTGTACACTTATAGTTAACTGACTTAATTTTACACTCTAACCCTAACTGACTTATAGTTTTACAATTTTAACCCTGATTTCCTATATAGTTTTTTTAGGGGTAAAATGACAAAAAAAATTATTATTATTCTCAAGTTTTTAGTCCTAAACCAGTCGTTTAATTTTATTCGTAACATATTTATGTATAAAAAATGGATATTAACTAAAATAAACATAATTTTAGTTTGGTCTAAACAAAAATATCATTTTTGCCGTTATTTGTGAAATTACCTCTTAGATTTGGAACACCATGTTCCAAACAAAAATGTTTTTGTTGGAGTGTTGGTAGGTTGACACGAGTTGACGTCAAGTGGTCGGAAATCTAAAATGTCAGACTTACTTTTCAATAAGTTTATTCTATTTTATCTTGTTCCAAACAAGAGTAAGTTGTTTTGAACCGTTGATGTATTGATGGGCTGACATGGTGTATTGGTGGGCAGACATGAGTGATGTAAAGTGATTTGAAATGTGACATCCCATACTTAATTTTTAGCAAGTTCATTATCAGTAACATTACTAACATACATTCTGAACTCTTATTTTCAAGTACGTTTATATATGTGCATATGTCTTGGTTAAGAATTAGATATCTATAGCACCATAGATATAAATTTCAACCGAAAATGAGTTCGTCCAAAATGATGCATGAATTCAGCTTAATGTTTATGTTATCGAATTTGTATGTTATTGAACTTGATGTTTATGTTATCATATTTCATATATCGTACCAATCAATTTAGGAAGACACATAACACCACAAATAAATAAGGAAATCATTGTTTTTTACTAAACATAACAAAATACATTACAATGTGCAACATAAACCCTAAACTCTAAATCGTAACGAAATACAATGCTTTCTGAAACATTCCCTAAACCTAAAAACCTAAATTGTAGTATAGTACAATGTGTAAGTCTACGTGGTCTAGATATACCTCGTTACTTTGCGGCCAAAATGTTTGCTACCATATGTCTTTTGCAAGAGATGATTGGACTGCTTACTATAAACATTTGGTAGGCATCTAAGCACCTTAAACCAAGTCTAAAATACATGGTTACTTTTGGTCTTGAAGCGACTAACCTAAGGTTTCTTCCTAGGCGCACGTGGGATCTTTATAACAAACAACGAATCCAAAAGAAACCTTTGACACAACAACCTTTTTAGATTCTTTCTTGTTAATCGACAACTTTTTCAAATTCTATTTTTTTTTTTTTACTATTTCTTGCATATTTCGACACAAACACACATAGACATATATATGATGTTATTTAGGAGCACAGTAATCAGAAAAGATGTATTTCATACTTGCACTTTAAAAACAACAATTCATTGATATGTTCCAAATTACGACGAACTCTTTTTTGAACTATCTTCCGGAATATTTTTGTTCTTGCCTCATACATCTAAACAAGGGCGTACTCTTTGAAACTAGTGCAACATACCATGAGTAAACGAAATGGATGATATATTACCATTTCAACTTTGAAAAAGCTATAATTTCTAACTTCATGTCCAAATAACACTTCCCACATTTAGAATAACATTTATAAAACTCAAAACCTTACTAATGACGAAGTACATTACGATATAAGAGAATTATTTGCTGGCATTTTGAGGAACATGGTGATTCCAATCAATCTCTCAAAAACCTTGTTCCTGAGTTTTTTTTGTAAATTCAATAAAGGAAAATACTGACAGAAAGAAAGAGAGGGAAAGAAAATTTTTCATTATTCCATGTTTCCGAGTTCGAAGGAAATGAAAGGAAAATTTCAAGTTTCTGTGTTCCCAAGTTAGGAGGGAAAAGAAAATAAAACTAAGGGGATGCTTGATATAGTTGCTAACTGGGTCCAATACGGGACCCGGTCCGAAAAAAACCAATCAGCGTGTTTGGTATCAAATTTATAATGAAAGACTCGGTCCAAGGATAGGATTCAGTCCAAGAATTTGATCTGATTCGGTCCCTTCTATTCCACTGCTGACCGGGACAACATCTAAGGAATATGTTTGCTTTCCTATTTCCCCTACCTCATTGTGAACGCCTCCACAGAAGAAACCATCGACGACCTGCTAATCGACGATAGCCATCGACGACCTGCTACTCAGTGAACGTCTTCTTCCTCCAACGAACGTCCTCTTCCGAGCATATGAGTTTTTTTTGCTCGTTTTTTTTGCTTGATTTTTGCTGCTCATTTTTTGTTGTTTGAATTTTGGAGGTTGATTGATGATGCCCGCAAGGTGTTTGTTAGATTTCCTGCTTGGAACACCAATATTGCTGGATAAGCTTAAAACGGTTTTGCAGGAGAGCAATTGAATTGGTCTTACAAATTGCTTTTCCCATCACCATAATCTCACTACTCCATGTTGTTGGTAATCTTGGCTATTCAACAATCTTAAGGAATATAATGATAAATGGCTTTTCCAAAATGCGGTGTTTGGATGTTGATTTTGTGTTTTACATATTTATGTCTTCTTTGTGTAGCTCCTCTGGTGTACAAACAATTTTTGCAAAAAGAAAGGTGATATAAATTGTATATATGTATATTTGTATAGAAAAAGTATGATGTAAGTTGAGTGTTGTGCATTACAAAATGATACAGAATATTTTAATATACTCTCATTGTGATTTTGTACTTTCTATTTTTTTCGAATGAATACAAGGTTTCTGATTTGTTATTTGAATCAAATAACAACAATGGAGTTTAGAGGATGAGAGAAGGAGAAAGTTGATAGCAATGTGTATATCGACTAGAAAATGAGATAATAAAGTATAAGGGTAATATGGTCATTTACCATCATTCACCACATTCAGTTAAACAAATAATCAATCAGCATAAACTCAGTTAGATGTGGACTCAGTCAGAACTTCTAACCCAATCAGCTCTAACCCAGTTAGCAACTATCAAACGACCCCTAAAAGATTTCCCTTCCCCTCACTTTCTTCCATAATTCACCCAATTTGGAAGAAAAATTTGGAAGAAAAATATGGCTCCAAAATCTTTTCTTTCCCCTCATTTTCCTTCCATCAATTAAACTCGGGAACACGATTTTTCTTCGACATCTCTCACATTCTCTTCATATCCATCGATATCCCTTCTTAAGTAGAACTCGGGAACAATTATGTCATGCCTCACCTATTTTTTAGTCTAGAACAACATTAAATATGTATTGGAACATGTTATGAATATTGTAATCATTTTTCAAAACTACTAAAACTCTTGTCATTTTGTGTAATAAGTTAATAACTTCATTTCTAAAGTTATATTATGAATATCTCTAAAAAAACCTTTTTTTTATTCATCGACACGTAGGTGTATTTGTTTTTTCGAAACGAAAATCTTTGAAGTCTGCGGACCACCTCTGTAACTCTCTGTAGCAGAAGAGGGGGATCAAACAGTAACTTTGTTTGTTTTTTAACCTCTGCAGACTGCTGCAATAAGTTAAAGTAAGGTATTGCGCCACTCAGCACACACGCAATAGTTTTTACGTCAGAAGTCTTCTGAAAAACAAACAGCTACGAAAGACCAAGTGTTGCGCGTGTGCACAACATCGCAACAATAAGTGGTCGGAAGTGGTTTTTAAAAAAAACAACAGCACCTTATAAAAGTTCATAAAAATAGACCTTGAACTGTAATGCGAAGGGGACAAAGACAGGCTGTCGTTATCTTGAAAGATCATAAAAGATCGTCTAGTAACATGAAATACGGGGTTGCTTGGAGTAGAAAAAATATAATATTTTAACTTAAGTAATTAAGCAGATGGGTATGAAGTATAAACAAATACGTATAATTCAGATTTGTAGTATGGGTAAAAGCTGAAGATAGAGACACACACAGCCTTTTCATTTCCCTTTCCTTTTCAATTGAACAGGTAATCGCCTATATCTTTGTTAACTTCTTTAATTCCATTTTATTTACCTCTTTCTGTAGTTATTCCATCATAAAGATTCTATATGGGTTTGGTGCAGATAGAGAAGTCAATAAATGATATTTTTTTTCCAACTAAATCTGTCAAGAAATTGATTGATTCAAATAAAAAAGATTTTAAACCCTTGAGCGAATTCCCACTTCTAGAACGAGGTTCTAATGGAGCTGTATGTTTGTCTATACACTCAAGTCGAAGACTTTTTGATCTTCTTGAAATCAACTCCTCTACAATTAGAAATGCCGAAATTAGGGTTTATGATTGTGTTGATCTTGTTCTTGTTACTGGCATTGCATACTGTGATATCAAATTTCAAGATCTTTAAGCCTGTTATTGTACGTAGAAACAGTTCTACCCTTTCCCATAAATTGGTCAAATCTCAAATATGGCTTCATCAAATTCGTATTCTTTCTGAAAGGTTCGATAACATAACATGCTACTTGTATTTGATTCTGTCAACAGATAGTTTCTACTCATAACTTGATCAAAGTCAACAGATTTGTGTTCTTTCTTTCTTTCTTTCAATCAACAGATTGTTTATCTGTTGAAATTTGTTCAAAGTCAACATACCTCATTTGCTAGTTTCTTTTTATAGGTTGATTTTAATTATGAATGCAGAAATTCAAGTAAAATGGAAGAGGATTTGGATACTGAATGGAAACCATTGCTAGAAGAGTTCACATTCACAAAAAACTCGGCTCCTTTTAATAGCTGTCATGCTTCTACAATAGTTGAGGTACTGGTTAATTTCTTGACTTTCTATAATAAGTAACATGCTCACACTTAATCTGGTAAACTATATATCAATGTTTCTATTTTTACTTAACACAGAAAGAAAGAACAACTAAATAAAGAAAGTCAACTGATTTTGGTTACTTTAGGTTAATAAAGACTGTTTTTTAGTAGCCTACTTTGGGGGTTCATATGAAGGGGCACCCGATGTCAAGATTTGGTTACAAATGCACAAGGTATGTATAAATTGGCATGTATATAATTTATTTGTTTAT